TGAGCCTTATGAACTTAATAGTGGACCTGCCTTGTGCCCTTGATGAAGTCATTTAAAGTGGCATATGTTTCATTTTGTAAATTTAGATGATCTCATACTTTAGTTTCCCTTTCCTTAAGTAGAATTTTGCTTACATAGCAAATGGAAGAGCCAAAAATTTAAGAGTTGGAGGACTTTAGGGATCATCTGGTGTCTGTTTTGTTCACTCTATAAAAATTTTCCTGGCACTGTTTTGGTCTTGAGGATACAGTGAAATCTTTGGTTTCATGGAGCTTACAATCTTTTATGAAAAGTAAGTTGTTAAGAAACTGTGTAATCTTACTTAAAGATACCTCACTTCATTTTGCTGAGTCTTAACATGCTCAAAAGAAAAAGAATCAGGTCTCCTATATGCCAGATAGGAGATGAGGAAGAGGAAGAGCCCCTGAATGAGTGAGCTAGGACAGTGCCTCTCAAAATTTTCTATGTGTGTGCATCACCTGAGTTTCATGTTAAAATGCAGATTCTGGTTCAGGAGGTCTGAGGTAGGGCCTGAGATTCTGCATTTCTTTCTTTCTTTCTTTTTTTTTTTTTTTGAGGAAGATTAGCCCTGAGCTAACTGCTGACAATCCTCCTCTTTTTGCTGAGGAAGACTGGCCCTGAGCTAACATCCATGCCCATCTTCCTCTACTTTATATCTGGGATGCCTAACCACAGCATGGCATGTCAAGTGGTGCCATGTCCGCACCTGGGATCTGAAGCGGCAAACTCCGGGCCGCTGAAGCGGAACGTGCACATTTAAGTGCTGTGCCACCGGGCCAGTCCCTGCATTTCTAACAATGCTTCCAGGTGATGCCTGTGCTACTAGTCTGAACCACACTTTGAATAGCAAGGAATTAGTATATAATTAAGAGAAAAGAATAGAATAGTTTTGTGAATTCACAATGCTAGTGTTTCCACTTGTGTTTTCAGAAATTTATATTTTTTCCTTTCTGGTAGTATTTAGAAATAATCCATATTCATATTTCCTCTTTAATATAGCACCTGCCCACTGCATTCTGAAGATATTGGGAAATTACTGCTAACATCCATAATTTGTTATGGCTCCTTGGTTACTGTCATTGGAATATTGGTTTCCTTGAAAATAGTTAGAAATAGTAAGAATACTTTTAGTTTATTATGCTGTTATGGAGGCAGAAAGATGTGAAATGTAATCATGGAGAAAAACTAAATGTAACTTTAATTATATTGGCTCATTATGATCAAATACACATCAAGTGTTTTCACTAGGAACATGCCCAATGCGATTTCTGGCATATTTGAAAAGCATTTGCTACAGCTATGGTTATTTCTCTGGTTTTGTTTTTTTTTTTGGTATTTAGTATGACTGAAAGTAAAACATCAAAAGCATTATAGTCCATTCTAGAATCAAGTCAATAAAGAAATGAAGTAAAACACATTGTTGGCTAAAAATACATTTTGCAAATTACATCTGAAGTTGTTTTGTTAGAGCCTCTATTGGAAATGAAATTCAGCTGTTCTTATTCTGTGGGGTTTTTAAAATATAATTATCTGAGAGTAGATGTCCATACAAAATAACTTTATTATGTCTTTCAATTTTTAACTCATTTGTCCTTTAGGACCTTTCCTATATATTCTGAAAACTCAAGATAGTAGTACCTAGAATTAAAGTAAATGAAAAAGAAATTGCAGATAAACTTAACATTGAGATAATTAAATTTAAAAGAGTGAAATTCGGCTGTGACTTACTAATATTACATCACCACATTGGTGTGTGGGACATTTGAGGGCGGGGACTGTTTCCTATATGCGTGTTTAGCACACATATTAAAGGACTCTGTTCTGTTTTTAAAAAAAAAAATCATTGGGAGCACATGTTCCTAGTTCTGGTAAAATCTTTTTTTGTTTTGTTTTGAGGAGATTAGAACTGAGCTAACATCTGCCGCCAATGCTCCTCTTTTTGCTGAGGAAGATTGGCCCTGAGCTAACATCTGTGCCCATCTTCCTCTACTTTATATATGGGACACCTGCCACAGCATGGCTTGGTAAGTGGTGTGTAGGTCTGTGCCTGTGATTTGAACTGGTGGACCCTGGGCTGCCGAAGTGGAGCACAGGAACTTAACCAATACACCACTGGGCTGGCCCCTGGTAAAATATTTTTTTTTAAAAACAATGTTATTTAGTTGAGTAAAAATTAAAAAGAGGGCTCTGGGGTCAACACAGCTTGAATTTTTTTTTTTTTTTAAATCCCAGCCCTACCTCTTAGTAGTTTTGTGATACTGGAAGTAACTTGACTTCTCTGTGCCTCAGCTTTCCTAGTTAGAAAATAATAATAGTCCATTTCATAAGGGGGTTGTTGTCAGGATTAAGTGAGATAATCCATCTAGAAGAGTTTTTCGCAAATAGTACTCAATAAATGCTAGCTGCTGCTAGTCTTCCTATTCAGGAACACCACTACAGTAGTCCTCCCTTATCCAGGAGGGATATGTTCCAAGACTCTCAGTGGATGCCTGAAACCTCAGATAGTACCGAGCTCTATATGTATATACTATGTTTTTTTCCTATACATACGTACATATTATAAAGTTTAATTTATAAATTAGGCCAGTAAGAGATTAACAATAATAACTTCTCTTTGGCATGTCTGAATTGGCAGTGTCACAACTCTTACGCTTTGGGGCCATTATTAAGTAAAATAAGGGTTTCTTGAACACAAGCACTACAATACTACAACAGTGATCTGATAACCAAGATGACTACTGAGTGGTAGTGGTGGATAGGTAGTGTATACAGTGTGGATACACTGGGCAAACGGATGATTCACATCCCAGGCAGGACGGAGTGAGACAGTGCAAGATTCTGTCACACTACTTAGAATGGCATGCAACTTAAAACTTATAAATTATTTACTTCTGGAATTTTCCCTTTAGTATTTTCAGACCACAATTGACTGTGGGTAACTGAAGCTGTGAAATGTGAAACTGTGAATAAGGGAGAACTACTGTATTGCATTGTCTGTAATGAAGTGATTTTCCTTTTTAAAACATTTTGGCATGCGTATCCAAATTCCAGAATGACAAGTTTGAGTGCTTAAAATATACACTTAAAATTAGTTTTGAATAAAAATCTTAAGAATTTTTACTTTCAGTTACTATAACTTTAATTCCTGTAAGAAAAGAGAAGCCATACATTCATTCATTCAATCATTTTTTTCTAATAAACTATTTATCGATACCTGCTGTTTATACGGCATTGTACTAGGTGCTAGGAATATAAAATGCCGCAAACTTGGTTGTGCTTGTTAGTTGCTTAGAGACTAGTGGAGTAAGGTACCGCTGAATGTAAATCAGTACCGTAAATAATACTTTTGTGCCAGATTATTAATACATGATACGTTTTATCCTGTCTTTTGGAAGTTGTAGAAGCCAAACTTTTTGGTGGATTAGCCCTTTATTTTTAGCATCTTACTATTTACCACGACTCTGTGGTATCTGTAATCATTCCTGTTTTGCAAATAAGGAAATTGAGGTTCAAAGAGGTTAAGTAATTTCTCATACAATGACAAAACTCACTCCAAAATCCTCTCTTAATTTTAATATTCATTCTACTCTTCTACCTCCTGTATGTCATAAGGTGCAAAATCTCTGTTAGAAGACTTAACCCATTATATTGTATTTGAGGTTTGTGTGTCTGTTTCCCTATTAGATTGGGAGCTTTTTTAGAGCAGGGACTAGTCATATTTGTTTTTGGGGCCCCCAGCAACTAGTAGAGTACCTGTCACATATTAGGTACCTAATAAATATTAGTTGAGCAGTGAATAAATATGTAGAATTTTAGAAGTAGAAGGAATTTTAGAGCTCATGTAAGTCACAGACACTAGAATTTCTAAAACAATTTTAGATTGTTTACATAGCGCTATAGCTTTTTTCTTTTTGAGGAAGATTAGCCCTGAGCTAACATCTGCCAATCCTCCTCTTTTTGTTGGGGAAGACTGGCACTGAGCTAACATCCATGCCCATCTTCCTCTACTTTATATGTGGGACGCCTACCACAGCATGGCTTGCCAAGTGGCGCCATGTCCTCACCCGGGATCCGAACCAGCAAACCCTGGGCCGCCAAAGTGGAACGTGCGCACTTAACCACTGCACCACTGGGCCGGCCCCTGACTATAGATTTTTATTTAAACTCTAGGATATTTAAAAAACAACTGGTATTGTCTATCACATCATCTCATAAAAGAAGACATTTTAACACCAAGAAAAGTAGGAAGAACAATCTCATAGCACAATTGGTAACTTTACGCCTGGTTTTTGGGTCATGGCTGGCACCTGTTCCAGGGTTAGATTTCAGGAACCATTATCTAATACAACGCTCACCTTTTAGAGATGATGATCTGAGTCCAGAGAAGCATCAGACTTCTTACAGCAAGGCAGAATGATGACTGAGTTTAGAACCCAGGTCTTCTGATTCCCTGCCCCAAATTTCAGTCCTGTCCCCTCAATCTTCATCACATGATGAGACTTACGCACAGAGAATTTGTGCCTTAGTTAAGGTCATATAGGTAGTAAGAAGAATACCTGAGACTTGAATTCCCATTACCCAACTCCGTTTTCAGTGAAACCTGTGCATTCACTTCCATGTAATCTTAACCTACTCTGTCAGCCCCCATTCAGTTGTAGAGATGGCATTATAAGTGAATGAAAGGAAATGTTTATCTTTAACACTTTTTTTTGTTTTGAGAAAGATTAGCCCTGAGCTAACTGCTGCCAATCCTCCTCTTTTTGCTGAGGAATGCTGGCCCTGAGCTAACATCCATGCCCATCTTCCTCTGCTTTCTATGTGGGACGCCTACCACAGCATGGCGTGCCAAGTGGTGCCATGTCCGCACCTGGGATCCAAACCGGTGAACCTTGGGCCGCCAAGAAGCGGAATGTGCGAACTTAACCACTGCGTCACCGAGCTGGCCCCTCTTTAACACTTTCTTCCCTTGAAAATTTCAGATTTGGGGCTTAAGAAACTTCTTTCAGGGAGGAGAGCAAGTGCAGCTGCTGTTGGAACCCAAGATCTTGATCCACATCCATAGATTGGAATATTGGTGGGCCAGCAGCCATCCTCAGACCCTCACTTAGGACAGGTAAGTGAAAGAGATAGTAAGGATAAGAAAAGCAGAATGAATGCTAATGTTTTTCCTTCCTCTTTCTCCCTAGATGCAAACAGTTGACTGCCTTTAAAAATTTAAACCTTGGGCCGGCCCGGTGGTGCAGCGGTTAAGTGCGCACGTTCCACTTCTCGGTGGCCCAGGGTTTACCGGTTCAGATCCCAGGTGCGGACCATAGCATCGCTTGGCAAAAGCCATGCTGTGGTAGGTGTCCCATGTGTAAAGTAGAGGAAGATGGGCATGGATGTTAGCTCAGGGCCAGTCTTCCTCAGCAAAAAGAGGAGGATTGGCAGTAGTTAGTTCAGGGCTAATCTTCCTCAAAAAAAAAAAAAAAAAATTTTAACCATTATCCTGGTAAAAACAAAGCATTTGGAATCTTAAGTGAGGCAAAACATTTTCTTGATTGTAAAATATATGTCAAAATGTTAACAGTGGTGCAACTTAGGGTAATTAAAATTTTTTCTTTTTTTCATGCATTTTCCAAATTGTATTTATCAGCTTGTGTTAGTTATCTATTGTTGCATAACAAACCACTTCACACTTAGTGGTTTAAAACATACCAATCATTTATTTTGCTCATGTATCTGCAATTTGGGCAAGGCTTGCTTGGTGGGGACAGCTTATCTCTGTTAACATGTGGTGTGAGGTGGGTAACTGAAATAGTGGGGGTGGCTGGAATCCTTTGAAGGCTTGCTCACTCATATGTCTGGTGGTTATTGCTGGCTGTTGGCAGGGACCACAGCCTGGGCTGTCAGCCAGAACACCTACACATGACCTCTCCTTTTGGCTGCTTGGCTTCCTCACAGCATGGTGGCTGGTTTCAGAGAGAGAGAGCAAGGCAAAGTTGCGTGGCATATTTGACTTAGCTTTGGAAATCATATAGTGTTACTCTGCTCTCTTTTATTGGTTGTGGTAGTCATAAAGGTCTACCCAGGTTCAGAGGAGAGGGTGAACATAGACCCCACCACTTGAAGGGACAAGTATCAACATCATGTTATAAGAAGAGTATATGGGATGGAATCTGCTGTTGTAGCCATCTTTAGAAAGTATAATCTGCCACAGTTTGTGTTACTTTTAAGATAAAGAATATAAATAATGTGTGTATATATGAAAAAGAGGAATATTTGCAGGAAATTATGGTTTATGAGTCCAATAAAAATTTTGTGTGCTCTTGTCTAGTGGAGTGTGTTATTAAAAGTAAGATGCCTAAACAGAAAGAAGTGAAATAGATTTTGGATTTTCTTTTGTATCAACAAAGCAGCATACTGTTGTAATCAAAAGTAGAGACAAAAATTTAGAAAGAATGCAAAGTAAGATTTGTAGTTTGGGTTTTTGGAGAAAATGCTAGTCATTTTAGTTCAAAGTCTACTTTTTTTCTTGTTTTAATAATTTGGAAATTATTTGGAAAATTGGTTTCCAATATAATTGTTTTGACAAACTAGTGCCAATATTATCATAAGTGTTGTTTGTTTTGTCTGTCTGCTTTTAAAGAAAACTATGAAATCTTTTTCAGGATTGCACAATTCTGTACAAAATTATGCCTTCTAAATTTCTGGTAAATATTTAAATTTTTTTCAGTTGGACAAGAAAACTTGCAAAGTTGTAGAGTATTTGGATGTCCTATTGATGCCACTGATCAATTGCATAAATTGCCTGTGACAGGTTTGAATATAGCTGATACTCTATTTCTGGATGTAATGGAATATTTTCAGATAATCCTCTAAACACTACATGGGAATATTGGTCCATTCACTATAGCTGGGAAATAAGCTCTAAGGAGCATCTCATTATCTCTTAGACCCAGAAGATGTCTTACTGTCTAGGTACTTTCCCATTCCTAGGTGATTTACATCATAATGAGCCTGACTGTACAGACTTGGTGCAGTACTATTCCCCCACTACTGACAGGTAGATATTCTAAGTGGAAAATGACTGAACCAGCTATTGTGACAATGGAGGTAATCTCAGAAGTTTGCTCTCAATTGTGAATAATCAGAATTGACTGAGTTTGTGAAACAGTATATTTTAGTTCAAAAGGTACAGTAACTGGGAAATTTTTGGCATTTAAAAACAAGATAAGATGTTTTCTGGTAGACGTAGATTGGGAATAGGGATTATAGGTAGTGTAAAATAGTCTATCTTAACAACAAATATATGCATATATATATATATATAAACGTATATAAAACCTTTAAGCAATTAACTTGCCTCCTTTTTTGTTTTAAGCATTTTTTTAGCCCACTTTTGCTTTTAAGAAGTATGAGTAGGTGAGTTGCTGATAATATCTTTTCCAGGTTTATTGAATGCTGTATTTTGCCTCCATTCTGCAAGACCTGTGCATGAAGGGATAAAAATCCCTTAAGTGAGTGAAATACTGCTTTTTGACTAAAGCTAAGACAAACATCAGTAAAAACTCCTAAAACACCCTATAGAAATTGCATATATGGTAGTGTTTAGTCTATGACACTTTCTTCAATCCATGGAAGGAGTTAAATGAAAGGATGTCTTAGAAAGAAGAATGACTATGCAAGTATTCTTTTAAAATGCAGAAAGATGGGCCGTCTCAGTGGCGCAGTGGTTAAGTGCGCATGTTCCGCTTTGGTGGCGCGGGGTTCCCAGATTCGGATCCTGGGTGCGGACATGGCTCTGCTTGGCAAGCCGTGCTGTGGTAGGCGTCCCACGTATAAAGTAGAGGAAGATGGCCATGGATGTTAGCTCAGGGCCAGTCTTCCTCAGCAAAAAGAGGAGGATTGGCAGCAGATGTTAGCTCAGGGCTAATCTTCCTCAAAAAAAAAAAAGAAGAAGAAGAATTGTGGAAGGCAGAAATTATGTTTTTAGGGGGTTAATCGTTCTCCTACTTACCTTATTTTTTGGTGAGATTCTTATTTCTAACATATAATGATTCTCAGTTGAAAAATGGCATTCAGTTCACGCTTATATAGCTTTTTGGCAAAACAGAAGTTGTGTGACTTTCTTCTGGTACCCCTCCCCCATTATGTATGAAATGTTTAACAAAAGTGTTTAATATTTGTGGTAAGGAAGTGATTGGCATAGTATAAAATTTACCATATTAACCATTTTTAAGTGTACAATTCAGTAGTATTAAGTACATTCCCATTGTTGTATAGCCAGTCTCCAGAACTCTTCATCTTGCAAAACCGAAATTCAATACCAATTAAACAGCAACTCCCTATTTCCTCCTCCCTCCATCCCCTGGAAACCAGCATTCTGGTACTTTCTGTCTATGAATTTGACTACTCTCAGTATCCTGTAAAAGTGGTCTCATACAGTGTTTGTCTTTTTGTGACTGGCTTATTTCACTTAGCATAATATCCTCAAGGATCATACTTGTCATAGCATGTGTCAGAATTTCCTTTATTTTTTAAGGCCAAATTGTATTCCATTGTATGTATATACCACATTTTGTTTATCCATTCATCCTTCGATGGACACCTGGGTTGCTTCTACCTTTTGGCTATTGCAAATAATGCTGCTGTGCACATTGGTGTGAAAATATCTCTTTGAGCCCCTCTTTTCAGTTCTTTTGGGTGTATACCCCAAAGTGGAATTGCTGAATCATAGAGTAATTCTATGTTTAGTTTTTGAGTAACTGCCATAATGTTTTCTATAGTGGCTGCACCATTTTACATCCTTACCAACAGTGCAGAGGAGTTCCAGTTTCTCCACTTTCTCACCAAAACTTGTTACTTTTTGTTTTTATTTTTTCAATAATAGCCATCCTAATGGGTGTGAGGTGGTATCTCATTGTGGTTTTGATTTATATTTGCCTAATGACTAGTGATGTTGAGCATCTGAGCATCTTCCTATGCTTGTTGACCGTTGAAGTTTTTAATTTTAATGTAGTCCAATTTCTCTGTTTTTACTTTTGTTGCATTTGCTTTTGGTGTCATATCCAAGGAATCATTCCCAAATCCAGTGTCATAAAGCTTTCCCCCTATATTTTTTTCTAAGAGCTTTATAGTTTTAGGTCTTACATTTAAGTCTGATCCATTTTGGATTAATTTTTGTATATGGTGTGAGGTAAGAGCCCAGCATCATTCTCTTGCATGTGGACATCCAGTTGTCTCAGCACCGTTTGTTGAAGAGATTATTCTTTCCCTCACTGAATGGTCTTAGCACCCTTGTGAAAATCAATTGGCCATAGATGTTCGGGTTTATTTCTGGACTTTCAATTCTATTGCATTGATCTGTATGTCTATCCGTATATCATTACCATACTGTTTTGATTACTGTAGCTTTGTAGTTAAGTTTTAAAATGAGGAAGTGCAAATGTTCTAACTTTGTTCCTTTTTGAGATAGTTTTGTCTATTTGAGACCCCCTTGAGATTCCATATGAATTTCAGGATTGGCTTTTCTGTTTCTGCAATAAAGGCTGTTGGAATTTTGGTAGGGATTGCATTGAATCTGTGAATTGCTTTGGGTAGTAGTACCATCTTAACAACATTAAGTTTTCTAATCTGTGAACATGCAATGTCTTTCCATTTATTTAGGTCCTCTTTAATTTCTTTCAGCCATGCTTTGTAGTTTTTGGTGTACAAGTCTTGCATCTCCTTTGTTGAATTTATTCCTAGGTATTTTATTCTTTTGGATGCTATTATAAATGGCATTGTTTTCTTAATTTCCTATTTGGATATTTTATTTCTTATATATAGAAATACTACTGATTTTGTATGTTGATCTTGTACCCTACAAATTTTGCTGATTTGGGGGCTGGCCTCGTAGGCCGAGTGGTTAGGTTCGCGCACTCCGCTTTGGGGGCCTAGGGTTTTGCCGATGCAGATCCTGGGCCGTGGACATGGCGCCGCTCATCGGGCCATGCTGGGGCAGCGTCCCACATGCCACAACTAGAAGAACCCACAACTAAAAATCCACAACTACGTACTGGGGTGCTTTGGGGAGAAAAAGGAAAAGTAAAATCTTAAAAAAAAAATTTGCTGATTTTGATTATGAGCACT